CCTGTTTGTTTAACCTGCCTTTAAGAGAACAAGGTAACACCCAACCTTGCCTTGGATTTCCCATGCAATCAACTTTTACAACCTAAGCTAATGCATAACTATAATATTAATATACAAACTCTTACACGCCTCTGGCCCATAGATCAATATATGTGTGTATGTATGCATGACGTAATAGTCTTTTGTTACAAGCAACAAAAAGTTGAAAATCAACATTATAAAACAAAAATCCACCATGAGCCCTGAAAGCAGCATGTGGATATTGCTTGGTGGCGTTCATTTGTTTGTTATCTGGGACAGTGGGGGTCAGTTAGAGTGACTTCACCCCTTGTAAAACTGTTAAAGATTTCTATGAAATGTCCCCCATTCATTCCCCATGTGATGCTTTCTGGGCTGTTCAATAAATGCAGAGCAAAAGCCCTTTGTTAGGGACACACAGATGCTGGGACAGACAAGACGACATTCAGGCAGGCAGTGACTCAGACTCACACAACAGACAGACAAAACGACAGAGACAGAAGAAGAGAATTCAAATCTGGGCTCACCCTTGGTAAAAATACAAGGGGAGGGGATGCTTTTTATTTATTTTCCTCACTACACGATGCATTTTTTGCTAACTATGAGTTTCTCATTGATATGTTTCAGCTAACATTGATAGCATCTGCTTTTTTTTTTTTTTTTTCATGTTAAGGACTGGGGTATAGTTCAGCAGTAGATGGTGTGCTTAGCCGGGCCCTCAGTTCAAATCCAGCATGAGAAAGTAAGAAAAATGAGTGTAAGCTAAAGCCATCCTAGTAATGTTACAAGACACAGAAACGTGTGGTCTTCACCGAGCTGTGCTCTAGAGCTTGGTCTCAGGCCTGTCTTGTGCTCAAGCACCGAGGGGTTAACCAGCCTCATCTTTTCCCAAAATGCAATGGGTCTGGTGTTCTCCTTCAGCCCAGACACATACCACGCAGTGCAGAACTAGAGCCCAGAGACCTCTGTGTAGAGAGCTGGTTTCCAAGAAATCAGGCTTGTCTCTCCTTCCCTCTCGACTCCTCATTTCCTGTGACACACCGTTCAGACTTCATTGAAAACCCACTCAGCTTCACGTGTGTCAGACTCTGCCCACCAGGAAATGTTCCTGACTTTTCTGGTCCCCATCCCATAAGCAAAAAGTGGCAGACTCTCCCTGGCGGGCTGTCCCCTCCCCAGGGTCCTGTTTACTGGCCACTGACAGGCTACCCTCTGCCCTGTGTCCTGTCCACTCCACTCCGCCCTTGGGTGGCTTTATCCACCCTTTCTCTTAGCCTGAACGTCCCTTTCCGCACACAAACAAACACATTTAGGACTCCTTGGCTTTAAAATGTGTCTACCATCCGTCTTGTGCCTTCTCGCTCTCTCTGCTGTTCTGTCTGGACTGGCTGGTGCTCACCACATCTTCATCACGCCTCTGCTCTCCGCCTCAGCCACTTCACCAAAGCCAGACTCTCCTAAGCACCACAAACAACTGTCCCCTCAAGCCCCAGTAGCTCTGGGTCGCCTGTCTCCACCTGTCCGTTCATTCGTTTCTCTCTCCAGGATTTACAGAGCGAGGGCCTTACCCTTCTTGAATTGCCCTTTATATCATTGCCATATTTATTATACGCAGCACTGCCCTCTCAGGGGTACAGTTTCCGAGCCCTCCTCCACTCTCCCTGCTCCCCCAGCCCCAGGCGACGTAGTAGTGCCTCTGGGTGACGTCTTCGGGTCTTTCCCTCCTTTCTGGCTATGTCTACAGATCTACAGTTCACCCCTTGCTTCTCACCCAAGCCGCAACTTCCATCTCCCTCCTCTTGTGAATCGTTAGTAGCCGTTCCCAGATGTCCAGGCTGGAACCCTCTGAGTCACCTTCCACTTCTTCCTCTTCCTTGTTCCCGGCACTGGAGCGGGACACCAACCGTCGTCCCCCCCAAATGACTCCTCCCGTCGTGTCCCTCATCTCTCTGCTGTGCCATTCTCTCCCACCCCATGCCCCTCACTGGCTTCCTAAGTCCAGTTTTCTGTTCCCTGCTTCGGGGATGCTATGAGCTTGTCCCTCAACGGCTCGTCTGCTGGGAGCTTGCGTCTCCTCAGTATGACAGAGACCTTTACAAGGAAGGTTCGTGGGGAGCCCTTAGGTCAACCGGAAGCATGTCCTGGGAAGGGATTGCGGGACTCCTGTCTCTCTCCCGCTTTGGTGGAGTGACCACTCTGACTGGTCTGCCACGGGGTCCTCCCCAGAGCCTATATTTGCATTCCAAACTCTGAGCTAAATAAAATTCTTTTCCTTATCAAGTTAACCTGCCTCTGGGATTTTGGTTATAGTAATGAAAAGTTGCCTAATACTTTCCCAATCAGTGCTTCCCTCATACTACTGTTGGACGGATATTAGCTACAAGACCAGGAAAAACTGCCCTATAAAGTGGTCTCCATTGCCTGCCCCGGAAGGAAATTGCTTTAACACTGAGGGCATGGGTCTGGCTGCCACATAAGATCCATGAGACTGGTTATCTCATCATAGCTGTGATACGATGCATAGATTAGGATCCCGAAGCAGTTCTCAGAGGGAGGCTGCTTGCTAACAGCTGACCTTCTTCTGGTTGTGGTTGAGAACACTGTTGGTGCACCTGTATGCATGACAGGATGGCTTCTGTAAGAAGGAATGGCCGTTCCCGAAGCATTCTCGACTCTGGGTAGTTCAGTGGAAAGCCTGTCTACGTGTTGAGTCCTGGAACATCAACCTGCTTTTGTAACTAACTAGCCATACATCAAGATGCTTTGTTTGCCCTTGGTGGCACATTTGAACTCTCTGAATAATAGAACTACTAATGCCTGGTATTTTCATCATGCTTTACGTCATATGTCACGAATAGTGTCCCATATTGCACAGTGAGAAAACTAAGGCTAAAAAGCTTGTCCAGTATCTCCTATAAGCAGAAGTCTTGGGACACCAAGGCAAAAGGACAAAGTCTGGAGATGTGAGCTCAACTTCAGGACTGCCACCGGGTATCTGGCATGTTGAAATGGGGTGAGCTATGATGGTTGACTGTAAGACGAATTGCTAAATGGTCTTATTAATAAAACTCTTAGCCAGATATTGGGGTGAAACTGAGAGGTCAGAGGAATAGGACAAGACACAGCCAACCTCACCTTACCAACTCCTCAGCCTCCAGAGCTACTTCCTGTATACTCATGCCTATAGACCTTTCTGTCCCTGCCCTCTTACTTCCTCTCTCTGCCCAGCTCTATCACTTCCTGTCTGTCTGTACAGACCTCCAGACTTCTATGGTTAACTAGTGCTGGGATTAAAGGCGTGTGCCACCAGGCCCGGCTCTGTTCCCAGTGTGGTCTTGAACTCACAGAGATCTGGTTGGATCTCTGACTCCTGAATGCTAGGATTAAAGGCATGTGCTACCATTGCCTAACTTCTATGTTTAATATAGTGGCTGGTTTTTTCCTCCGATCCTCAGATAAGCTTAATTGTGATGCACAAATAAAATATCACCACATTTCCCTTTTTGTCTAAAATAAAAAAGTTATAACTAATATAAGAAAAATTATATACAATAAGTACAGTAACTATATACAATATATATAGTCAATAAATACATCAACAATGTCTAGTCCATTTGCATTTGACAACTCAGAGAAAATATTCCATTATCTATCCTATCTTGTGAATCCAAAGGATTATATCTAATTTACCTTCTATCCTAATTTGCCTTACCAAAACTATCTTTTGATGTCTTTCAAACTTATACACTTTATACCCCTTAATGATTTTCTTTTCTGAATTTCTTTTTTTTTTTTCGAGACAGGGTTTCTCTATGTAGCTTTGCGCCTTTCCTGGAACTCACTTGGTAGCCCAGGCTGGCCTTGAACTCACAGAGCCTCCCGAGTGCTGGGATTAAAGGCGTGCGCCACCACTGCCCGGCTCTTTTCTGAATTTCTTAACAAGGAAAACTATAACTTCAATGTAGTTGAAGAGTAGATAGTTATAATTATAGTTTTCATTAGCCATGATAAAGAATAAATTAGATATGAATCCTTAGACTCACAAATATAGGATAGAATATTTTCTTTAATTTCGTCAAATACAAAGACTAGATATTGTAACTATAATTCTTATTTGATAACTGTTCTGTTATATGTAATTTTACTATGTTAAAATTAAAACCTTCCTTTTTGATTGGATAGAAAAGGGGAAGTGTTGGGGAATGTCCTTCTGTACTCTGTGAATATGTGTTGTTCCCATTGCTTACTAAATAAGCTGTGTTGGCCTATGGCAAGGTAGCTTAGAGGCAGGCAGGAAATCTGAGGAGAGAGACAGGAAAGAGAAGGCAGATTTTTGAGAAAGACACCAGCCGCTGCCAGGAGAAGCAAGATGTGAAAGTACCAGTAAGCCACGGTCACATGGCAACTTATAGATAAATAGAAATGGGTTGTTATAAGAGCCAGCTAGCAAGAAGCCTGACATAGGCCATACAGCTTGTAAATAACCTCTATGTGTTTACTTGGGTCTGAGCGGCTACAGGGCTGCGGGGGAGGGGAGAGGAGGGAGGAGGGAGCCCCTCCCCCGGCGGGCCAGAGAAAATTCCGACTACAGTTGACCTGACTCGGGTTCTTGGCCTACCATGTTGATGGGGAACTGAGCTTGAGGACAAGCCGGGCGTGTGTTCAAGGGCAAAGAACACAGTACTGGGGCAATTCTGACTGTCCCCTGGCTCTTCCTTCTGTGACGGGCGGTCAGTGTAAGTCGTGGGCTGTTGTCCCCTCAGGGATGGCACAACCACTGTCTGATGATACACGTGGGACAGCCTACAACAGACAAACTTTGAAGTTCTGTGAGAGGAGAAGCCTCATCCGGGGACGGGGAGGCCACCGGCACCAGCTCTGACATGGGGCTGTGCCTCCCAGCTGTGTCCCGGAGACCTCTGTGTACCCTCTGCCTGCTCTAGCCTCAACAAGGCCATGCCTCCCTCCCAGCTCTGTGGCACCTCTCAGGGCTCCAGGGATGGCGAGGTTGAAAGTGAAAACAGGTGTCGCTCTTCGCTCTTCGCAGTGGCCCTCCGGTGACTCCACCGTCACGACAAGGTCATGGGTGCGTTGTTGATTGAGGAGGAGTGGTAGCGGAGGCGAGGAAGACAGAAGAGAACATTCCAGAAGGGTGGAGGGTCACACCCAGAGGCACCCAGGGAAAACAAACTGTCGCTTTGCAGGCTCTGTGGGCTGAGGCGGCTACACCTCAGCACCTGGTCTGTTTGTCTTGGGTTTCTCCTGGAACTAGAGGTGGAAAACCCATAAGCCAAATCTCCCACGATGCATCCCTTTCCCACTTTTCTTCCTTGGCTGATGAGCTCCTTGTAGGCTTGCCTTCGAGAGAGCTGGGTCCAGGCAGAAACGCAACTGTGCCGCTTCCACAGAGAATGCACTGGAAAGTGTGAAGAAGTTGAAGGGGGGAGAGCCAGCCTCTTCCACCCCCTGTGGGGAGTCAAGGTCTAACTGCCGGCACATCGGCCTCAGAACCAAGCGTGACCAGTGTGGCACCCACCACTGTGCGCTTCTCTTTCCTCTGTCTTAGAATTCAAGACAGGGAAAGAAACCAACTTGGAAAATACTCGAGTCTGGCGGGGCACCTGCAGCAGGGCCAGGCTTACTAAAATGGCATCATCAATATCTTTTGAAAGCACTCCATAAGCTCTCCTTTTCGGTTCCTTCCACTGAGGCTGGAGGAAGAGCGAGGCTGCATCCCTTTCTCCTGCACCCCTAGGACCTGAAGGAGGCCCACGAGACAGTCACGTGGCCTGAAGAACCCAACAGCAAACTTGGGCTAGGTGAATATGCCATGTCCGATGGGAATCAAGAAAGACAAGCTCTCAAACCAAGATGGCAGAGGCAAGATGGCCGACGCTGGGCTGGGTAGGCAGAGGTTATGGCGGGTCTCAGCGCTTCACGGCTCGTCCTGGAGTTTCTGGATGTATCACTTCCCACATGCTGGGAGAAGTGAGGTGAGGTGACTTCACCCAAGGCAATAACGCAAGGGAAGAAGCGCCTCGCTGACCTGCCTCGTTTGATGGCTCTGGCCGATGCAGCTAGAAAGAAGGTTGGAGTCTCTCAGTTTAGAGTCTGCTGTGAGGCAGGCATGGCTTCTGGAAGGTCTTCCTTGGTGATACAGGCTTTAAGGTCAGCACAGAGAATGTGCCGCCCACCCCTATTGATGAAATGAAATCGCTTGAGGAAGTGGGGATCACGGTGTCGACATTTGAATTGCCTGGCTCCCTGGAATACCCTTCAGGTCTCCTTGACTTGGGATAGTAGAAGGGAGGTGATGATGGAGGAATAATGGCAACTTTGCGTGTTGTGGTTCCTGCCAGGCATGGTGCTTTGGGCATCCCCTACCAAGATTCTTTCTGAGCCGGATGCGGGCAAGAAACGGCCGAAGCCGGTGGACCTGCGAAGTGGCTCGGAGCCAACATCGAGAGTTCCACCGACCAACACTGGCTGTGTGACTTGGGCAAACGATCTGACTCCCCTGAGGCTTGCTTGGGGGTACCTTACCTAGCTACGAAACTAGGACAATGACAGATACTTGGGACGCCAACAAGGATGTCTGTGAAGCCATTGGCTCTCCCCAAGCTCACCAGGTGTCATTTGGGCATTGCCTGATTTCTGTGTCTCCTCGGAGCTGCTAGAACGTCTGCTGCTGTGGCCTTCACTCTCTGCTGCTGTGGCCTTCACTCTCCCCAGGTCTCTCGGCCGTCACCAGGCCAGCATCTTCTGCCTGGAGCCCCGCCGGCTCCTGGCTGCTTTTTTATTCCCCAGCAACCCCAGCCTGTCCCTTTTCAGTCACAGTATCCAGGATGATCCTTAGAAAGAACTTTCTAAAGGCTGGGCCCGTCACTCCCTTCCTGAAAGCTCCTCACTGCCTGCTCATGTCAGCTACTTAAAATCCATAATCCATCCCGCAGCCTGCCGGCCCTGCGGGATCTAGTGCCTGCCCCCTCTGGAAGCCTCCAAGGGACTAGTCTCTCTGGGAATGTCCCACTGCTCAGGCCCTGCTGACCAGTGCCTGGCCCCCGCGTCCATGTTCCCTCCTCAGCCGTCAGGGCTCTGCTCGTACATGCAGCAGCTCCTCAGAGGCCTCCCCAGACTCGGTCTACACGAAGCCTCTTCAGCATCTCCTTCTCACCCTTCACTCCCTGGGAACCCTGGGAACATGTCTGCAATTATTTAATGCCTGTCTGCATTTGGCAAGGTCTTGGCTCCAGGAAGCCCTGCCGCGGGGGGTGTCTCATTCTTTCACTGTGCTCCTCCAGGGGCACCTGAGAACAATGTCGGGCTCATGGGGGCATCCCTCACATGGCCCTTTCAAGGAGCAAATAAATGAAGGATGGCTCTCTCTCTCTCTTGTCGGCATTTCTGTTCTTTCCTCCACGGGTGGGGTGGGCTTGTTGGGAAGTTTGTTTTGTGGACAGTTCTAAGCGGCCAGGGCTGCTTTACTTCTGGGTCACGGGCCTGAACCAGGTCACTGAAGTGAGAGAGCTCTGGGAGGCAAGGACCATGACTTATCCATCTCGGTGTCTAAAGTCACTGGTGTGAACAGACGTCCAGGGGGCGAGCAAGCTTCGAAGCCGGGGTTGCTTTAATTCACCCGAATTCACCCCATGGCATTGTTTGGGGTCCAAAGGACGGAGTCGATGCCCGTGAGTCCTTTAACAGACGGAGAGGCCAGAGCTGCCTACCATCCAGACCGGGGCCCGCCATAAGCACGGCCACCCTCCTTAGAGGTTTTGCGTGGCACGACGGCCCCGTTCCTAGGACACTCGTGAGGTGCAGACGGGTGGCACTCCATCTGCTCCAGCCTCTAAGCAGATGACGGAGAATGCGCGAACTCAGCCTAACAGAACGGTGCACAGCGGAGGCAAAGGTTGAGATGCCCTAGAGGGTGTCAGACCTGGCCCGGGCGGGGGAAGCGGTCCCACAGACGGCTTTGTGTGCCCTTGAGAGCCATTTAACCCCCCCCCCCCCAAGAAACCAGAAACCAGACCCAGCAGCAAAGACCATGCCTTTGAGCGTGGACAAGAGCGAATGCTTCCCGGCCTCTCCGATCATTTGTTAGGCAGGGCTCCGGGCAGCCTATCTGAGACCATGGCATGGACGAGGCTGCCCCGGAAAAAAAGGCCGCCGGAAACAGCCATCAGCTGAGCATGCCTTGCCACCACCACCCCCGCGGCAGGGGCGGGCCTTCCGGTAAACTCCGGCAGTAATCCACCTTCCGGAATAAAGCGGGGCCGCCCTTGCAAGGGCTCGTAAGTCCTGGGGTGCACAGACCTGCCGTCTGATCCAGTGGAGGGGCTCCATTGTACATATACCCTGCCTCCTAGCCCACCCCACCCCCCATCAGAAGGATCCCGCTCAAAGAAGTTTGTCTGGCTTCTCTCCATGCTGTCTCCTTATCCTCCTCATGATGATGCTCCATTATAGGACACTGAGACCTTAGAGCCATAAGCCTTGGCCTCCCACCCCTGGGCTGCTGAGTTCCTGCCCTTGGCCGGACCTCGTCTTTTGGATGACCCTGAGCAGGGGTGGGGGGTGGGGGTCTTGGGGCAGTGGGGTCAGATGGGCCTGTGCAGTTTTGGTGGTCTCGGCTGCAGGCTGGGGAAGTCTTTCTCACCCCGATGACAAGATTGGATGCTCTCTGAAAGAAAGCCAATGGGACCCTTCCGCTGCATATCCTGTGGCCCTGGCTCTCCTCCTCCAGCCTGCCCTAGCAGTGGCCCTCATAACCACCCAGTGGCCACTTGAAGTGCTGATGTCACCTCTGTTACTAGGTCACTGATGGTCCTAACAGGAGAAGCAAGGAAGCGTGGCTGCCGGGCTTCCTCCTCAGTCATTCCTGCCAGGAGCCACAGAGCTGTGCTCCGGGTCCGGTCCACCTTCACTCTAAAGAGCCCCGGCTCTACCAGGAAAGAGCTTCACCACTACAGACAGCTCTTCTGTGGGAGCTCTGAGCTTTCCATCTGACCCGGGGCCAATGCCCCCAACACCTTTTTCAAAAGTGGCCTGGGCCCAGAGGAAGGTCCTGCCAGCAGGTGGGAACAGACAGCTTATGATGGCTTATGACTCAGACATATGTGAGGCCTTAGGAGACCCCTTGGGGAGCCGGAAGGAATGGACTGAAGGGTCCCAGACCCCCAGAAGCTGCCTGAAGCAGTGTAGTGACTGGATTTTCCCAGGAAGCCCCTCGTAATGTCCCATCTCTGCTCCCGCCCGCCAGCCCTCCTGGATCCGCTCCTGGTATCTCAGGACTCGGCCCCAGGACAAAGCCACATTCCCCAGTCATTCATCTCCATCCTCCTCCTTTCCTTCTCTGGCCACGCCCCTCTGCCCTCTCCATCACCTGCACTCTGGATCCTCTCTACCGAACACAGAGTTTAATGATCCAAACAGTTTGGGGCAAGTGGAAAGTTGGTACCGACACGTTTGGAGTTGACTTGGGGAAGAGGTTTACAAATAGCTTTTATATATTCTTTGACAATTTCATATACCTAAACAATGACTCTTGATCATATCCATACCCAATAGATTTTTTTTGTTTGTTTGTTTTTTGAGACAGGGTTTCTCTGTGTAGCTTTGTGCCTTTCCTGGGACTCACTTGGTAGTCCAGGCTGGCCTCGAACTCACAGAGATCCGCCTGGCTCTGCCTCCCAAGTGCTGGGATTAAAGGCGTGTGCCACCACCGCCCGGCTTAGATTTTTTTTTTTTAAAGAAAAGTTCTCACATTATGGCTCAAGCTGGCCCAGACCTAACTAAATAGCCCAGGCTATCCTTAAACTCACAGTAATGCTCTTGCCTCAGCCTCCTGAGTGCTAGATGAAACTTGAGCCATCAGATCTGGCTTTTGAAAAAAAAAAAACCATTTATTTTTATGTGTATTTTGCCTAAACATATGTCTGTGTACATGTGTGTGTCTGATGTTCACAGAGGCCAGGAGGAGGTGTCAGATCCCTCTGTTACACACAGTTGTGAGCTGCCAGATGGGTGCTGGGAATTGAACCTGGATCCTCTGGAAAAGCAGCCAGGGAACTCCCAACCCACCTGTCTCTGCCTCCTGAGGGCTGGGATTACAGGTATGTACTACCTTGTCCAGCCCCAAGAGTTGAGTTTAAATCACAGAATGTAAAAATTTAGGGGCTGGGCAGAAGGCATAGTTCAATGGTACAGAATACATGGTTAGTGGAAGCAAGGCCCTGGGTTCCATCCCCAGCTGGGCTGGGGTGTGGCTATTAGTAGAGTGCTTTCTGCTCATGTGTAAACCCCTGGGTTCCGTCCCCAGCACCACACACACTTAAGAATGTGTTGTGGTTGCTGCTGTTGTTTTGAGACAGGGTCTCTCTATGTAGCCCTGCCTGTCCTTGATCTCACAGAGATCCAACTGCCTCTCAGGTACTGGGATAAAGGCATGTGCCACCATACCCAGAAAATTCAGGAATTTAGACTATTGTGTTGTGGCATTCACTGCCATGCTTTGAGTATAGAGAACAGAGGTCTGGAGGGGTGGGATAAAACTTGCACTCAGGACCAGGACAGTTAGCACAAAAGCCAAAGCAACATGGCTCCCATGGCAACCCTTTCTTCCCAGCTAAGAAGGCCCTGAGAAGCTGAAAGACCAGGGCCCTTCAGTACTGTTCCTCCTGGCTCCCCGAGGGGCTTACCAAGCAGCCACATCTACTTGGTCTAGGTTCCGTTTTCACACCTGCTGGCAGGACTCTCTCCCAGACCTGGGCCACCTCGGAAGGTGGTGCTCCCTCACTTCCTGGGGCGTGGGAGCCTGGAAGGCAGGTGGTTGAGGGTAGCTTCCTTTGCTCTTAGACAAAATGTTAAGGAAAGCTCATGCATGCCTGTAATCTCAGTGCTCAGAAGGCTGAGACAGGGGGATTACAAATTCAAGATTGATTAAAGCTACATACTAAGTTACCCAGTGACAGCCTCTCTCTCTCTCTCTCTGTCTCTCTCTCTCTCTGTCTCTCTCTCTCTCTGTCTCTCTCTCTCTCTCTCTGTCTCTCTCTCTCTCTCTCTCTCTCTCTCTCTCAGGAATGAAGGCCAGGCTATCCCACTTTTCTAACACCTGACTCTTGTCCATGTGGCATGCCCCCTTCTAACCTGCTCCCCATAAAGCAGTACCCCATAAAGCATTGAAAGCTTCCCCGGACCTGTTGAGGTGGGAAAGAACTATGACTCTGACTTAGGTCTAGGATCCTGACTCCTCACCCTTCACAGAATACTCAGACACCCCGATGCACGGAATGAAACCTCAGTTTGGAGTCAGGCCAGCAGCTTGGGAAGTGGCAGGAAGAAGTCTCGGGGACCCGGAGACCATCCCTGTGCCCACCCCACCCCAGGGAGATGAGGCTGTGAAAAGCCAAGGCTGGAATCAAAGTTCGGAATGGCAGGCTTCTTTTGAGGGGGGCACACTGGCTGCTCTCAGCATCCCCGCCCCTGCCCGGCTTCTGTCCACCACCATTCTCCAAGCTGGCCTGCCTCCTGCCTCCCAGTTCTGCTTCCTTCCACAGTTTTCTCCTTTATGCCCATTTTGCTTTGATTCATTGATTTCTCATCCATCCTGTTCTCTGGTTTGACCTCTTTGTAAGTTTTTCTTTCGCTCCTGCCGCCGGCTTTTCTGTCCGTCCACCTGTCCGTCCGTCTGTCCGTCTCCCCCCCACCCAGTCTCTCCTCAACTCTCTCCCTGTGGTTCTACCTCTTTTCTCTCTCTGTGTAAATGAAGTTCTGGTCCCCTCCACTGTGGGTTCCCCAAACCAGACCACCTCCTGCCCCCCAGACATCTCTGTTTCTCTCTGCCTCTGCCCCTTCTTTCTGTCTGTCTAGTGTTTCCCCTTCTTCTTCCACCTCGTGAACTATCTACCCATTCACGTTTCCTTTTCTCTCTCTCCTCCCTCCTCTCCTCCTTCCCCTCTCCCTGGAGCCAGCCTCCCCTGCCGCGGGACTCTATTCCAGACGCATCACTTACCAGCTAGACAGAGGAGACAAGGATAAAAGCAGCTCAGACACAGCCAGGGGACCCTCCAGTGAGGCCCTCTCATGGCTCCCAAGAGTCCCTTAGGCTCCCCCAGGAAGCTCCGAAGCTCAGAAGTGGCAGCAGCGGGAGGAGCAGAAGAGAGCCTGTCCCCACTGGCTGCTGGTCCCCGACAGGTGGATTTCCCTGTAAGGGCCAGAATGAGTACCAGGGGGAGGACAAAAGAAGGCGTGGCCTCATGCCAATCATCCTTGCCGGGTTCTTTTCTTTCCTCAATCACCACCCCCCCTTCCCCCACCAGGAAAAAAATAATACCTGTACACCCGGAGCTCTGCTCCCTGTCAGTCTGAGCCAAGTGGGAGGAGGGGAGGGGAGGAGAGGGATGTGGGGAAAGAGAAACAAGACTGACAGGAAGTGAGAGGGCACCTTCCCGCCCAAGGTCCCTGGGACCTTTTCTCCCTCTCCTTGGTCTGCAATGGTTACAGCTACCATAGGCGTCAGCTGGATTGCTTCAGAAGAAAGGGCGGGACAATAAGGAAGACGCAGCACAGAGAGAAATGACATTGGGGCTAGACTACCAGGAGGAAAAGAGTAAGACTGATGGGGTGTGAGGGCAGCCATGTGCAGTAAGGGGTGGAAGCCATCTTTTGGAAGGGGTGATGAGGTTAGACCATCTGCTCGGTGTCAGCATGGGAATCATGGTAGATGTCTTCTGTCCAGGACAGGGAATGCCTGAGGCCCCTGGGCAAACAGCTTGAGGGACCTGCCAGGGTCAGCTGGGGTGATGTAGAAACTGGGTAAAATGCTTATCCATAACCTGGAAGCGGTGAGAGATGCTCCCAGAGCTCTGGGGGGCTTGGATCACCCCCATTTTGGAACTCACCATTTTGGGTCACCTCTCAGAATTCAAACTCAAGCCAGAAAGGGTATGAACCCCAAACAACGTATGCCAGGCAGGACTCTGAAGTTGACAGAGGGCTGGCCGTAAAGCTGTGTGAAGGAAAACGGGAGATTTCTCCTTCACTACAGCATGCATCTGCTTCTAGTGCATCAAGGTGCCGTTCTCCAAGAGTGTCTGTGGAGTGACTGGTCCCAGAGCAAGGACGGAGCCCAGAATGAGGAGTCAGCATTTCGGCATTCTCAGGCAGAGACAGCCTTGCCCAGGCAAAGTAGTTAGTGGCTGGCAGTTCCATCTCATGAGACCACCTCGGAAGACCATGGTCGGCCCAACACCCGTTGACCGTGTGAGTGAGACACCCTGGTGTGGCCCAAGCTGCACTTTGCCCTTGTCACGTAGTTAGTGTAAAATACACTACAGAGACGTGCCTGCATCCCAGGCACCCTCCATCCGGCGATGCACAAAATCCCTCCACTGCTTTTTAGGAGCAGGAAAGCCAGATGGTAGAGAGGATGTATGGCATCAGGCCCCTTGACAGAAGAGCAGGAAACTGTCACTGAAAACAGTTTGCATAGGTACCCTTGACCTTAGGAGTCATTCTTCTGTGTCAGCTCTTTTTCCTTTTAAGATTTATTAATTTATAATTTACATGCACGTGTGTAAGCCTCCATGTGTTTATGTACACCATGGAAGCCAGAAGAGGGCGTTAGGTCCCCTGGAACACGGAGTTACAGGCAGTTGTGAGCTGCCACGTGGGTGCTGAGGACTGAACCCGGGTCCTCGGCAGGAGCAGTCCATGCTCTTGGCCACTGAACGGTCTCTCCAGCCTCTGTCAGTTCTTGCTCACGGTTTCTCCCGTTAATTTGCCACCTGGGTTTTTGTTTGTTTCCTTTGGTTTTGTTGAAACAGTGTCTTGCTATGTAGCCCAGGCTGACCTGGAAATGCTGATCCTCTTGCCTCAGCCTCCAGAGTGTTGAGATTTCAGGAATGTGTTACCTACCGTGCCTGGCTCACCATTGTTGGAGATGGTGGTGGTAGTGGTAATGGTGGTGATGATGGTACTGATAATGGTGGTGGTGATGGTGGTGGAGGAGGTGGTAGTGATGATGGTGGTGGTGGAGGTGGTGGTGGTGGTGGTGG